CTTTGGGGGTCAAACGACCCTTTCACAGGGGTCACCCGATTTATAACAGTAGCAAAATGACAGTTATGAAGTAGCAACAAAAATAATGTTATGGTGGGGGGGAGGGGGGAAGTGACCACATGAGGAACTGTGTTAAAGGGTGGCGGCACGAGGAAGGCTGAGAAGCACTGCCCTAAAGGGAACATCCCAGAGGCAATCTCAGTCAGGAGAGAACATTTCTTACATGAAATCAAGACCATAGTTTCAAACAAGAAATAAGAAGCCGGTTGAAATGTAATGATGCCATAATCCTAAATAACTGTTAGCAGACATGCAAATTCCCCTAAACAAACAACCTTTGCTCTGGCTATCCCAGTTTTCTGTTTCAAATAGAAACAGCAAAAATTTCCTAAAGAGCTGCCTGTAATGTGCTGGATCCGATTTTGCCATTCACTAGTGAACCAGCACCAATCGGGCTTTTGCCTCAAGCACTCTCTGAAAGGGTTCTGGCCAAAGATCTAGAATGATCTCTTTATGTCACGAAATCACATGCTCAGTTCTTGTCACACCGATCTCTCAACAGCACTGAACAGCACATCAGCACCATCTCCTTCCTTCCCTTGGTTTCCATGGCACTGTATTTATCCTGGTGTCTTCCCACCTCTTTACTAGCTCCTTCCCAGACTCCTTTGCTAGATCCTCCTATGTCAAAATCAAAATGTGCTGTAAATGATACCATCACGAAAATGAAGTTAAAAAAATAATTACACTAATGAGTATAAGAATAAAATGTTCTAAAATTGAATGTGGTAATGATTGTACAACTCTTATTGATTTGATTGAACTATTGTATAATATGTAGATGAAGTGCCAATAAAACTGTTTGTTTTTTTTAAAACCCTCAAACTCACTGCCATTGAATCGATGCCGACTCATAGTGACCCAGTCGGACACGACAGAACTGCCCCCTGTGAGTTTCTGAGACTGTCATTCTTTATAGGAGTAGAAAGCCCCATTTTCCTCCCTCGGAGTGGCTAGTGGTTTCAAACTGCTGACCTTGTGGACCACAGCTCAACTCGTATCCACTATGCCACCAAAGCAGTGGTGGTCATCACATTGGGGGTGAGTTAATTAAGTGTTTCACCAATTACAGCAGGTTGATTTTTAACATGACAATTTTGTGTGACCTGTGAATGATGCTATAAATATCTAATAGCACTTGGCAGAAACAAATGTTCCTTCCCCTGTTCTGAATCCACCCAGAGGTACCTCAGAATAAAGGCCTGACCCTCTGCTTCTGAAGATCATAGCTATTGGAAACCCATGGCATGTAGTTCTACCTTGAAACATACATGTTGCATGAGTTGAAAGCTACTCATTAGTGACTATTTTAGCTTCTTTTATGTGTCAAAATGGGTCGATGTTCATTTAGATTGGCTAATGCTGTTAGAACAACCTAATCACTCTATATACCTTGCAAATTCCCTCAACTCTTTAAAATGCTCGTGCCTGTTGTTAATCTCTAAGAAAGAGATGCATGGCCTGTTGCTTTTCAACTTTGTTGGCCACATGGTCTAGAATCAGGGATCCTCAAACTATGGCCCGCGGGGCCGCATGCAGCCCGCCAAGGATATTTATCCAGGACGCCGGGTATTTTTGCCCCGTTTTGTTTTTTACTTCAAAATAAGATACGTGCAGTGTGCATAGGAATTTGTTCATAGGTTGTTTTTTTTTTAAACTATAGTCCGGCCCTCCAACGGGTCTGAGGGACAGTGAACTGGCCCCCAGGTTAAAAAGTTTGAGGACCCCTGGCTCTAGATGCTGAACATCCCTTATGGGGAATTCATCATATATTCTGGGTGTGATTGTATTTTAATTGGCCATTGACTTTCTTATTAAAACAAAACATTTTTTTCATGTCTTATGGTTTTGTGTATGGAAGTCTGACTTTGCTCTCAAACTGTGAAATCCACCATGCTAACAGGGTATTTATGCTCTATGCTCCGCATTTTCTAATAAGATGTAAGAAATCGGAGTCCAATAAATACACTGTGATTTATGGGGGGGGCGGGGAGAAAGTGAAAGTCAACCCAAAGAATAGGAGAGAAGAGCTGTAAATCACAGACTGAGAAAGAAATGTTTAAAGAACAAATGACAAAGGGGCAAAGGATGTGAATAGGCATTTCTTTTTTAAAATATCGATAATTGGCCTAAAATACCTTACAAAGCACAGAAATGTGCTCTATAAGGTTGTTGATGGTTTATGGTTCAGAAGCAGATTACCAAGCCTTACTTCTGAGCCTTTCAGTTAGCAGCCAAACATGTAAACTTTTCACGCCACTCAGGGACTCCTTCGAAAGGACAGTCACCAGTGCCAGGGAGAGCAAGGGTTCTGAGCAAATGGGACTCACTCACATGCACGCCGACAGGAATGTAAAGCGTTGCAACCACTTTGAAAAACAGCAGTTCCTCAAGGCTTAGGCACAGAGCTACCATATGACCCAAGAATTGCACTCATAGAAATATATCAAAGAGAAATGAAGACAGAATACACAAGAACTTGTACACAGATGTTCACAGTAGCATTATTCATAATACCCAACAAGCGGAAATAACTCAAATGTCCATCAACTGATGAATGGATAAATATTACTCCACCTGATGGAACATTATTCAGCAATAAAAAATAATAAAGATGCATAGCTACATGAATGGATCTTGAAAACATTCTAAGAATCCACCACCACAAATTATATGATTCTATTTATGTACAAAATAAATCTATAAAGATAGAAAGGATTAGGAGTAAGGGTGGGAAGTGGGAGTGACTGCTAATGGGTAGTTTCTTTTCGAAGTGGTGAAAATATTCTAAAATTAGATTGAGACAATGGTTGCATAACTTTATATACATATGTATGGTTAAAGCTATTCAATTTTAAACTGAGTACTTAGTGGGTAAATTTTATGAGTTGAGGTATATGAATTATACCTAAAAAATTCTGTGAAACTGGTATTTCAATCATTTAAAAAACCCATGGCATGCTGGAAGATGTTGTTAGGTGCCGGGGAGTCGGTTGCAACTCAGTGGTCCCGTGTACCATAGCAGGACGCCGCCTGCCTGGGCCGTCCCGACCACTGTCATGTTGGAGCCATCAGTGCAGGCGTGGGGTCAACCCATCTCCTTGAGGGCCGACCTCTGTCACTGACCCGCTACTGTACCAAGAGTGACGTCTCTTTCTCTCCTGATACCTGACATGAAGCCTCGCTCTTAAGAAACATTCTGGCTGTACTTCTCCTAAGACATTTTTGTTTGTTCTTTACCAACGCCATAATTCAAGTGTACCATTCCTTGAAAACCAAACAACTTACCAAATGTTGTATCATTCTGGGAAGAAATGTAAAATTTGGAAGATATTTCCTAACAGAAATGGAAAAGGATTTCAACTGCAGTTCTTCCTCAGAAATCTTTTCAAATATTGAATAGGAATTAGTACAAGCTATAAAAAATGCCGTCATTGTCACAACCGAGGGCATAAGCAGCTCATCCTTCAATAAAAGAGGTAGCATACTGTAAAGGAAAATGGGAGAAACAGGGAAAAGATTGTCAAGTCAAAACATAATCAATGTAAAAAAGTTAATTTATAAGAACTACACTGAAAACATTATATGAGAATTGGTTTCACTCACCTAAATGTTGACACAAGTAAAAACCAAGTCGATATAAAAGGTATTTCATTTAAAACTAAACAGACTGGCCTAAAATAGTAAAGGAAAAAAAACCACTTTAATATTAACACAATTTTAATTCCTACTTGAACATATACATATATTAACACATTTCATATATCTGCTTTTCAGGATTAGTATTAAAAAGAAAAGGCTAAAAAGTCTCCACTCCACGTGGACTACTGATTCATAATTTTAGAACTATCAGTACAATCTAAATCAATCTGGACAGTGAGGGGTAGACACTCCTTAAACGAGCTGGAACCCTACTTGCAGTAGGCCATTAGTGGAACGTGTCTCTAGCATGTAAATAGTGGCTTCAGGAAAGAATCACATAAACATATCTGAACATTCAGAGAAAGAAAGAATTGTCATGTATTTTACCCTACTTGCTAGGAATATGCAATGAATTTCAAATTCTAAAGATGAATTCCAAAGGTAATTTGTTTTCAAGCTTTTCTTTTATCTCATCCTCAGCCTGATCTTCTCACAGTAGAAATGGCAGCCCAAGCCTTTAAGCCGCAGCACTACCGGGGCTCCTTATATATTACTCAGCTAGGTCAAAACTAAGGCACAGAGAAATAGCTGCAAAAATCTTCTAATGATTGGAACTTGGAATGTGCAAAGTATGAATTTAGGAAAATTGGAAGTGGTCAAAAATGGAATGGAATGCATGAAGCTGAGTGTTGTAGGCTTTAGTGAGCTGAAATGGACGACATTGGTCATTATGAATCAGAAAACCATAATATTTACTAAGCTGTCTAACACAAGTGGAGCTCACAGACATAGTGATCAAGAGGAATGGTGTGGCATTCACTGTCAGAAAGGATCTTGCTATGGATTCATCATGGAGAACAATGCTGTCTGTCATCAGATTTCATCTATTTGCCTTCAAGGAAATCCAATCAATACAACTACTATTCAATTTTATCCACCAACCACAAAAGCTAGTGATGAAGAAATCAAAGAATTTTTACCAGCGACTTTAGTCAGAAACTGATCAAACATGCAATCGAGATGCAATGATACTTATTGGTGATTGGAATGCAAAAGTTGGAAACAGAGGAAGAAACAACAGTTGGAAAATACAGACTTGTTGACAGAAATTAAGCTAGAGTTCGCATGTCAGAATTTTGCAAAACCAAAAACTTATTCATAGCAAATATCTTTTAAAAAAAATACTTTTATTGGGGGCTCTTACATCTCTTACCACAATCCATATATTCATCTATTGTATCAAGCACATTTGTACATATGCTGCCATCATCATTTTCAAGAAAGCATTTTCTTTCTTCTTGAACCCTTGATAACAGCTCATTTTCTCCCTTCCTCCCCTGCCTGCCCTATCATGAACCTTTGATAAATTATAGATTATTATTTTCATATCTTACAAAGTCCTCTGTCGCCCATCACCCACTTCTCTGTTGTTCGTCCTCCTAGGAGGGTGTTGTATGTTTATCCGTATGATTGATTCTCCCTTTCTCCCCGCACCTTCCGCTTATCCTCCTGGTATCTCTATTCTCATTGTTGGCCCTGAGGGGTTTATCTATCCTGGATTCCCTGTGTTGCCGGCTCTTGTCTGTAGCAGTGTGCATGCTCTGGTCTAATCCGAGTTGTGAGGTAGAATTGAGGTCATGATAGTGTGGAAAGGACGCATTAAAGAACTAGAGGAAAGTTGTGTGTTCCCTCAGTGCTATACTGCACCTTGACTGGCTCATCATTTCTTTGTGACCCTTCTTTGAGGACATGTCCAATTGTCTACAGATGGGCTTTGGGTCTCCACTCCACACACACCCTGTACACTCATTCACAAGCAAATCTTCTTTCAAGAACACAAAAGGCAACTATATACATGGGCCTCCCCAGATGGAATACACACAAATGAAACTGACCACATCTGTGGGAAGACACAATGGAGAAGCTCCATATCAGCAGCTAAAACTAGACCAAAGGCTGACCGTGGAACAGACCATAATTGTTCACATATAAGTTCAAAATAACGCTGAAGAAAATTAAAACAAGTCCACAGGAGCCAAATACAACCTTGAGCCTATCCCACCTGAATGTTGAGAACATTCAAGAACACATTTGATGCACTGAACACTAATGACAGAAGACCTAATGGGAGGACACTGGGACCATCATTCAAGAAGAAAGCAAAAGTCTGAAAAGGCAGGAAAGAAACAAAAGCTCAAAGTGGGTGCAGAAGAGACTCTAAAAGTTGCTATTAATCATCGAGTAGCTCAAGCAAATGGAAGAAAGAATAAAGCCAAGGCGCTGAATAGAAATTTTCAAAGGGCAGCTCGAGAGGACAAAGTTAAATATCACATGAAAACGTGCCAGGACCTAGAATTAGAAAGCCAAGAGGGAAGAACACACGTAGTATATCTGAGACTGAGAGAAGTCCAGTCTGGGACTACAATTATGAAAGATTCTACAGGCCAGATACTGACTGATGCGGGAAGCATCAAAAGAAGATGGAAGGAATACAGAGTCACTGTACCAAACAGAACTAGTCGAGAGCCCACCATTTCAGGAGGCTGCATATGAGCAAGGGCCAGGAGTGCTGAAGGAAGAAGTTCAAACTGCACTGAATGTATTAACCAAAAGCAAAAGAAAGCTCCAGGAATTGACAGAATACCCACCGAAATGTTTCAGAAAGCTGAAGAAGTACTGGAAACACTCACTGGTGTATGCCAAGAACTTTGGGAGACTACTTGGCCAACTGATTGGAAGAGATCCATGTTTGTGCCCATTCCAAAGGAAGGTCACAAAGCAGAATGAATTATATAAATGACATCACATGGCAGTAAAATATTGCTTAAGATCATCCAACAACAGTTGCAGCAGCACATTGGCAGGGAACTTCCAAAAGTTCAGGCTGGATCCAGAAGAGAATGTGGAACAAGAGATATCACTGCTGATGTCAGATAGATCTCAACTGAAATCAGAGAATACCAGAAAGATGTTCTCTTGTTTCATTGCTGTCAAGACATTCAACCGTGTGGATCATAATAACCGGTGGATGACCTAGAGAAGAATGGGAGTTCCGGAACCCTTCATCGTGCTCATTCAGAACTTGTACACGGGTCAAGAGGCAGTTGTCTGAACAAAATAAGAGAATACTGCATGCTTTAAAATCAGGAAAGGTGTACAACAGGGCTGTGTCCTCTCGCCATACTTGTTCAATCTCTATGCTGAAAAAAATTATCAGAGAAACTGGATTATATGAAGACTGCGGCATCAGGATTGGAGGAAGGCTTATTAATAACCTATAATATTCAAATGACACAACCTTGCTTGCTGAAAGGGATGAGGAATTAATCTTCATCTTGCTGATGAAGACCAAGGATTGTAGTTTTCAGTATGGATTACAACTCAATGTAAGTAAGAACAAAATCCTCACAATTGGACCAATAATTAACATCATGATAAACAGAGAAAATATTGAAGGTGTCAAGGATTTTCTTAGATCCACAATCATTGCACATGGAAGCAGGGTCAAGAGATCAAAAGCCATATTGCAGTAGGTAAATCTGCTTTAGAGTATTGCAGAGCAAAGATGCTTCTTTGAGAAATAATGTGCACCTGACACAAGACATGGTATTCTCCATTGCATCATATGCACGTGAAGTTGGACACTAAAGAAAGAAGACCGTAGATTCGTTTAAATTGTGGTGCTGGTGAAGAATATTGAAAGTACCATGTACAGCACCAAAGGACAAAAATTTCTGTATGGGAAGAAGTATGACTAGAGGGCTCCTTAAAAGCAAGGATGGCAAGACTGTGTCTTACATACCTTGGACATCTTGTCAGGAGAGACCAGTCCCTCGGGAAGGACATCATGTTGGTAAAGGGTTGGGGCAGTGGCACAGAGGAAGGCCCTCGATGAGAGGGAGGGACTGGCACAGTAGCCGCATCAGTGGGCTCGGGCACAGGAACAGTTGTGAGGATGACACACACTGTTGTGTTAGATTGTGCGTAGGGTCACTGTGGGTCACAACCGACTCCATGGCACCTAACAAGTCAAAATTTAAATGATGACAGGCAGGATCACCATGGCACAGGAAAAAGCACAACAGGTAAAGAAAGGCTATCAAGGAAAACACGATGATAATGAAAGAGTAAGAGGGGAAATGAAGATGGAAAAGCTACATGCCAGGATGATAGTACAGCAAGAGCTGGAACCACTGCCTCCATCACGGAGTTGGCTAGTGTCAGGATGCCAAACTCTGTACCCCCTGGCCCAGGACCCTCCAGATTCAACTGGCAGTAGCCGTGGGGAAGGACAGGGGTGGTTGGAAGACCTGGGTCCTAATCCCCGCTCTGACACTCACTGTTGTCGTCTTGAGTACATGATTAATTTAACCTGTTTTCTTATGTGTACAAGGAAAAGATACTAATCCTGTGTTACTTGACTGAATGGATTCTTTTACATGTATCGCCTAGTGCATGTCCTTCAAAGTTAGAAGGTTTCATTTATTCATTGGTTAGTGCTGCTTCACTAATTTAAATTGTTAGTGTCGTTCAGTGTGGTTGGGTGAGTCCTGTCTCATAGCGACCCCAAGAGCCTGAGAACTGCCCCACATGGATTTCTAGGCCACCATTTTTGCCGAAGCAGATCCCTAAGTCTTCACTTCTCATTCATATATCAAATGTATCATATGTGCCTCCGATGAGTCCGATTCTGTTAGGGACTGAGGATACCAACGTGCCTGTGCCCTCAAGTCGAGTGAAAACAATGTGAAGTGTGAGAGCGCTTCATGAAATATAAACTGCAAACATCACAAAATAAATGCATGAGCGTGCTTCAAAGACTGCATGGCTAAAGGAAAGGAAAAGATCATGGAATTTTTCCAGGAAGTTTTGAAGCCCCCTTGTATCTGTGAAGCATAAAGGCCTGCTCAAGAATGGCACCACATACAAACGGGCAGTAAAAGCTGGTCTCTAATGAGGGCAATCATGGAATTGTTCCGTTTTTCAATCTCCTGAATTTAGTAAATGCTCCAAAAACGGTTTGTACATTCTCC